CTCAAGAAGCCAGAAGATAATGAAGAAATCATTCATGCAATGAAGGTGGCATAGGATGGGAAAAACCAAAACACACGAACCAAACCCCAAAAAAAAAAAAAATTTCCCCCCCCCCCCATCCAACACTGGGGACATTTTGGCAGAGGAACCAGAGGAGACCCACTCTCACCATAGCTACCCTGCTGCAAACTGTCTCCATAGAGAAAAACATTATTCTCAGCAGCTCACTGCCTTCAGCCTTCACGGTCATGGGCAATAGGCGATCATCAGATTTTACCTTTGATCAATACGCGAGCTGTGCCATGCGTCTAATATGTTCTGCGGGTTGAGTGATCTGACGACGCGGACCCACTCACCAACCCAGAAGCAACACCCACAAAAATCCCTAGCAGAGAGTGATGAAGAGACAGGGTAGGAGAAGAAGGCGCTGGGACGTCTCCCTGTGCCTCCTTTCTCACCCCCCTCATGCTCAAAAACATTCTTCCTCCCTGAGCTTGCTTGGGAGAAAAGGGGGGGGTCGACCTTTCATCGCCGAACAGGCGTGCGGTGACGAGGGGGCCTTCCTCAGCGCAGCTCCAGCTTATTTCCACCTCTTTCTTTTCTCTCTTCCCCTCTTTCCCATTTCTTTGTCTCTTTAAATGGCCTGACGAACCTACAGGCTCTCTCCACCTACAGTCTGCGATGGGGCAGGTTGAGATCCCTGCGAATCAATTACTGTAGCGAGGAGGGCATAGGAAAAAAGGAAAACTACATATTGCGCTAAACGATAAATAGAAAACTTGTCTGAAAGCTGTTCCTCCTTGGTTTCACATCAACTTTGGCAGCTGCTTAAATTGAACCTGGACTCTAATGTCGAGACAATGAGATCAGCCTGATGAGAAAAGCAGAATATTACAACCTGACCCACAGAATGCCTGAGTCCAGCGCTGACCTTCTCTGTGAATTGGTGCCGACTAAGATGTTTTAACAGTTAACAAGGATCGATTAAAGTATCCACTCCTGCCGCCTCGCGGCGCCCCGCCCCGGCCCCCACCCCCCCCCCCCCCCGCCTCCCAAAGCTCCCTGGCCCGGCTGCTTTCTAGCTTCCAGGGCTTTTAGTGGTAAATTAAGTCATGCTATGTCTGCTCTTGCCCCTCTCCTCAGACCTTCCTCTCACTCCACCGCGATATGCGTGTTCGTTCTTGAACGATCGCTGTCGCGTCTCGTCGGCTCCTCACACCGTCCGTGACTAGTGTAGGTGTCGGGCCCCGCTTGTGGACACGCATTAGCCGCCGCGTCGCCGTAGCCCACCGACCCGCCGCCCAGCCGCTCCCCGGCCCGCCGCTCCCGCGCCGGCCCGGGACTACCCGCGCCACTATTGTGTGCGTGTCTGGCTCTCTTCCTAATCTCTTCTCGCCCCCTCGCGCCCGAAGCCCGGCGCCCGCGCCCACGGCATCTCCGGCTCTCCCCCCCACCCATCCTATCTCGCATCAGGATCCTCTTCTCCGGGTGATCCACCCATCCACTTTAACTTCCCTGCGGTGCCCTGAAACAACATGTTTCTTGGGAGGAGCGATTCAAACATCGCTGAATCTGGATGGTTTTTCATCTATTTTGCATTGTGTGTGGGCGTGTGTGGGTGTGCGTAAGTGACAAAGAGAGACAGAGCGGGAAGGGGCTAGAAAAAAAACGAGAAAGAGAAAGAGAAAGAGAGGTGCAGTTTTCCCGTGGGTGTACTGCAGTAACATAGTAATCCTCATTAATATTTATCTGCCAGGCAAAGTGGAGAGAATGATTAGCTTGAGAGTGTGTGTGAGTGTCTGCGTGGTGTGTGTGTTCTCTTGAGTGAACCACCTTTGTGCATGCTTGTATAGAATATTACAGCATATAACACATGAACTAGGTCAACTTCTATACTTAAGAGACTAACAAGTCCCGATACTTTAAAGGTTTTGTGTCATCACGGGGGTCTCTCATTGCACGCGTGCACAGTAAACAGCATTTTTATCTTAATTATTCCAAGCACACATATGAACGGGGAAGGCAAAGCTCATGGCATGCACATACATTCTCGCACACACACGGAGACAGGCTCCCTGGCTCTTCATCCCCGTTCTCCGAGCCACGTTGCGTTCATCTTATTGATTTTCCTGCTCGCACCTCTAATACAATCACATTAAACTAGACTGATCGGAATTGAATTTTAGACCGGGTCTATGCATCTGTGTCACTTATAATCTCCGTCACAGTGACGGTGGCGTGTGGGTGTGTGTTGAAAATAAACCTGTAAGAAAATTAAGCCTGCAAAAGCTGGGTTTATTGTCACTTAAAAATTATAGTAACAGATGAGTGTGTCATATGGGCTTTTTATTCTCTTGTACATAACTGTTTTTGTGAATTTATGGTGTCTGTGACCCATTTCCCTCCACTGCCTCCCTCCCTCTCTCTCT